ACCTTTTGCCTTGCCAATGATTGTCTTTTTTTTACCTGGGCTGATGTAAATTAACAGCATTTCATGGAGTTTCAGTGGTGTAAGATGGATGAGAGATATCAAACCAAACTAGCATCCAAACAAAAACTGTAAAGACATTTACACATTTGCCATTACTAGGGAAAAACGCAAAACTACTTGGTATATATATTAAAAAAAATACATTCCACATAGGTCTAGTGCTGCTACTTCTACCAATTGAACAAAGTTCATAAATAACATTCAATAATAGATCCACATGCTATACTGATATAGAGAAGGGGTGAGGAATTGATTCAGCTCTTAGAAAATTCTGTTGCTATTTGTATATTTCAATCCATCTCTCTGCAAGTCTGGAACTGCAGGCACAAAATGACCATTGTGAATGACCTGCCTGAATTCAAGTCCATGGGATGCTACAGAACTGACTTTAGCCAGATTAAAAATAACGCATCACTTTTCACAAGTATCAGTACTCAGTGAAACTCAAAAAAAAAAAAAAAAATCCACGTATTTTCTGTTGAGAAGATAACAAAGAGAGGGTAAAAGCAAAAATAGTCAGATATTGCAATGGTGAGAGAAAAATACTGAACATTCCAGGAGTCTGTGCTAAGACCTGCACTGTTTAACACATTCACAAATGACAGAGTACAGACAGCAGTCACCTGGCTATTGCTTCTTGCACACAAGAATTAAGGCACCACAAGAAGTCAGAAGCTCAGCTCAAACAAGCGAAAAGCTTCTCTATATAACAGCTGACAGTAAATCTTGACAAAGGCTGTTGTGCATACAGAAAATCTGCATAAATGGAAACGAAGATCAGGCAATTGGTTGGAGAAGACCACCATGATATGGAGGATTATATATCTAGATTTTTTTGGGGAGTGTGTCATTTGCATCTGCTGTGCACATCCAGGGAAGTTACTACTGGAGGGATGGCCCAGGGTTAGAATGACCTTTGATATAAATCAGTACAGCTGTGGTATAAATATGAATAATAAACATCACAACTAAAAGTTAAGAAACCAAGAGGTGAGATGTAGCTACATACAACAGTAAATGAAATAATCCAGGAACTGTTTTCAGGCCCTTGGGCCAACTAAAGGGCACAGCTCGTTTCCATTCAGCTAAGTCCTTCTGTCCCCAGAGCAGGGCAGTCCTATCCCTGCTGCCTGGAGGGGGGGGCTCCTGCCTCTGCTAATCCCCAAACTGTGCCCAAGCGTCACTGAGCGGGTGCTAGTTAAGGCATCAGGAGCAGAAAGCACGCCAGCAATTAACAATTTAACAGTATGAACAGGAGTGCTCAGTGGCTGGTGCGGATGCAGCCATCACACCTAGCAGTCTGTTGGTGTCAAAGGCATAGAGATTGTAGCGATACGAACCTTCTGCCCAAGGCCTTGGATCCAATATAGATCTTCACATGCTAGAAGAGGGCTTTACGTGTCAAGGTGAAATTTCAAGTATTTGTTATCCGAGTTAGAACATACCTAAAGGGAAAAACAACCCACATCATTCTGCTGTAGTGAGCATAAGCTAGGGCTTGCTAATTATTATGACTGACATACCATAATTCGATAACTTACTTTCTACATAAAATCAACCCTTCACTATAGAAAACCATCAGTGGGACTAACAAATGATTCCAAACTGTAAAAAGCTTCATTGCTGATCTAATTAAGCTCTGCTTCTCGCAGCTCTGGGAAGTGCAGAATAATCAGAGCACAGCAGGCACCAGCTCTGAATCCTCCCTCCCTCCCAGCCAGCCCCTGCACGCTCTGACCGACAGGGAGAGGACACCGAGCAGCAGCGGGACATCAGCACGGCAGCCTTCTGTGAAAGGGACCGTGCTTTTGGGTAGTTCTGTCTCCTTTGTGCCCTTGGAGTAGAATAAACCAGAACAGCTATAGGTGCAGCCCAGTGAGGTGGTGGAAGGGTAGAAGTCCAAAAGCTGAAATGATGTTACAGAACTGAGGAAGAAGAGGGGTCGTAGCTGGAGGTGCCAGCAGCGCACTGCCAGAAGAGAATGAAATCAAGACCAGTTCTGTGGAGGCCTTAGGAGAGAAGTCAGTCAGACCATAAAAAGAAAGAACAGTGGCAGAATGCGGAGGAAGGGGGTCAGTAAGACAGAGTCACAAAGAAATTGAAAGAATTAGATACAGAAGGAGGGACACACAGATCACAGGGAGTGAAATAAGAGAAATGAGAAACTATCTCTGGGATAGAGGAAAGGAGACTTATGCAGTCAAGAAACAATGAAGAAAAGAGAAATGAATGAGCAAAAATGAATGAGTAGAACACAAGTTATGCTTTTCCAGAAGAAGAAAGGCCGGAAAAAAGGGAAGGGGAGAAAAAGCAAAGCAATTAATAAAAGGAATGAGGCAGTAGGGATGAAACGAGGGACATGAAAGGGATATAAAATGGCACAAGGCATACACAATAGAGGAAACAAGCGCTCTTTTATTTATTCATACTTCTATATTTCATGTTATCTTTCTAGCAAGCATCCCATAGCTCCATAGATTTATTTTTTTTTGAGGGTGGGGTGGTGGGAAAGATGCAGGAAGGGATGGGCTGGCAGCATATTGCTGCTGAGGGATTTACTATAGCTCTTTTTTCTTCTTGTACTACTGGACGCATATTTATTGAAATTACCTGAGATACTGGCTGGCACTTTTTCAGAAACATCAATAACTGATTTGGAATAGAGGAAAAAAAAATAATAAAGAAAATCCCAACCATCAAGCCTAGGAAAATTCAAAGAGGGGGATACCGATGTAAGGAAGCAATTGGTGTCATTTGTCAAAAGTTACCAGCAGCTGGCAACTGTTCAGCTCCTATAGATCACCAAACCCTTTTTGCCATTTGAATGACATCTGAAATAGGAAAGAGCTATGATTTATCTTTCCTGAATATAGCATTAACACAGGGTTAACACTGCCTGATGAAAGAAATAGAGTTCTCTAGAGGGAAATGAAAAAAGACAACCATTTAATAAAATAATCTAAACTAATTCTCCTATTGTTAAGATATTTTGTTGGAATTTTTAATGTTTTCAAGAAACCAGAAAGAGAAACATTTAACATTTTTAGTCCTCCTCTTACCTGTTTCTTTCTATCACAATGACTTGCCACGAGAGAGAATTCTGTGAAAGCAAGGGCAATACATCAGAAGGTTTTGTATCTCATTGTTTATCATTACAATAATAGTAGTAATAACCCCATGGACCATTTTGATGAAAACAACAGTTGAAAAAATGTTATTAGCTTGGCCAGGCGTAATTGCCTGCTAGCATTCATTGATATTAATTTTTTAATTCTTTTTTACGACTATTTCTACCTGTCCTTTTATAGGGCAGTGAATGCCCAGAGCAAGACTGCCAGGTTGCTGTTTCATCTACCATCTCATCCTGGGTTTTTATTGGATTTATTTTTCTTTCAGAAAGTATTTGCTCTTGATGCTTAATTCAGAAGCTTCTTGCTTCTGTGCTGGGAATAAAAATACTGAATTGGTTCTCCAATTAGCAAACATTTTCAGCTGAAAAACTATCAAATCAATACCATATCCTCAGCAATCATGTTAGTTACAAAAGTGTGAAAAATTTTTTCCAAGAGCTCTCAATGCCCATTTTTTGGCTAATTAGCTGTCTGTCTGCCTTGTCCAAGAGGCAGAGTTTAATTCCAAAATGAAAGACTTGAAAAACCCAAGAAAGTTCTCCAAAAGGAAATGACTTTCATTCAAATGAAAAATTTCTGTGCCGCCCTTTTTCTTATGAAAGATTTCTTATGCAAATAGAAATTGAATGACTAAGATAAATTTGGAATACATTGCTCTGGTACTATGATGCTCTTTCATACTGTTTTTTCCCATGTTGTCTCTCCTGAACCAGCTATAATAGAGACAACGAAGAGCAACAATTATATTCATTTATAATTATTGTGGTTATTTATAGTTACATAGAAAGGTTGTCACACGTGTCTCAGCAAACATTCTTATGGATTTTGATAAGAGTTTTTATTTGTTCCATCAGTTATAACGCGGCTTGTTTAACTTGAATGAGAAGGTACTATCTTTTTGTTCTTTCACAGTCTAGTTGTACTGGCTGGTTGTTATTCTATAAATAGCACAAATAGAAATAGCACAATATAGAAAATAAAGTAGTTAAGCCTTCTGCTGATGGTTTAATTAATTGGTACTGATGCTGCATTTTGCAGTTTCCAGATCAGTTTGACTGAAATAAGGGTGCTAACCCTGCATTTTCAGGCTGACTGTGCAGTGCTCAGATTGCACTGATTGCACTGTTGGTGTAAGGGCAGTCTGGTAAGGATTACTGAACATGTATGAACAGGAATGCAGCCAACTCGGGGAACGGTGCCCGAGCTGCAGCCGGGGGGAGCAGGGAGGGGAGCGGACACAGACGGATCACTCGCTCCCTGCTGACAGCCTAGCAAAGAACCACCCTAATAGATTGGGCTGTCTGGTCAAAAAACTTCCTGAGGCTTTTTAGATAACTTAGTATATACTAAGTGTAGCCTGTACTTTTGTCAAGGATAAACAAGTAGCTTTATTTCTATGATTGTATTCTGTAACTTTTGCAGCGCTCTTCCTTAGTTTTGGAAAATGGATCAGAATATTTTGGCCCACATTTACAGTGGCGTTTAGGCATCTGGCTTGGTCAAAAATGATATTTTCAGAAATGAATTACATGGATAATGCGTTTAATGATGAAATAATTAAATTTGGGGATGAAAACCATATAGCTAGAAGCACAGCAGAAAGAGTTTAATCAAATTAACATTTTGGTCATAAAATTACAATGTTTTACCTTTCTTGGATAACGAACATGGATGTCTGTTTCTAGTGAACTTACAGCTGTAAGAACTACACATATTCTCTACACATATCTCTAACTACACATATTCTTTTAGGATTAATTTAATTATTTGTGCATCATTAGTCACTACAGTTTCTTTATCTGTTGACAGCCACCATTCAACGCATCAAGTAACTGTAGTCCATCATCATAATCACTATTATGATTCCATCACCAGGTAAGTAATTATACCTGCTTTCACTCCATGGGAACCTGAAAAGACTCCTTGGAGTTCTCTGTGTTTATTTTACTTAAAATATAGCAATTTGAGAAAAGTGGGTAGAAACTGCAAAGCCCCAATCAGCACTTTCTTAGATGTCTGAACCAGGGTGTGTGTGGGGGTGCAGTTGTTTATTTGTAGGAAGATGATTAATGAATTGTTGACAGTAATAAAGAAGCAGACATCTTGGAGATATTATTATGGATCACATATCACTTGAAACAGCAAGTCTGCCTCCGTAAAACATTTTATTTGTTATATTGTGCAAATCGATTGTAATTTGCTACTGGCTCCTTTTCAAATACATTTCTTAATTGCTGCCTTGGTAAATAATAAATCACACTAACTATTATTTCAAAATTGAGTGTTCTAATTTAGTTATGAATGGAGAAAGTAGAGATGCTTCAGGATATAAAATCTTCTAGCAGTTTGCAGAAAAATAGCCTCTTAAGGATAACCACATGAAAAATCATTAGAAATGGACTATAGCACACTAGCATGCATGCCTTCGTGACTGAAGGCAGCCTAACAAAGCACTGACAAGGTTATGCTAAAATAAATATTTTGTTCTCCTGCCCTTTGCAAAAAAAATAATAAAAGGATGCAAACAGCAGAACAATAATTCTAGTAATGCTGTATTAATACTGTTATACAAGCATCAATAGCAAATACACTTTTAAAATTTAACATCCCTGGATTTGCCTTCTGACATAGATCAGAAATGTCCTTGAAGAACCAATATATTTGTTTCTTCTAGATTACCAATTTATGCTTTGTATAATAAAACAGCTGTGCTTCTTGTGCTCAGTATGGATGAGTCATGCTTTTAATATATGAAATAAACCTGAAGGAATAAAAATGATTCTTCAAAGTTTTGAGATTTGGATGGGTCAAGTACATCTCTAAAATCTAATGGATAATCTGCATTAAACTGATCTATTCCTTTTTGTTTGCTTGCCTGGTTTTACAAGATGTTTTTAAGACTCAATGAGCATTTATGCATCCAGAACCCTCAGCCACTGAGAATTTTACATGGATTTCAAGAGAAAATATGTAATATTCTTTAAGCTTTAGGTTTCTCTTTTGAGCTATTTCATCCTTTTTTGTTCATTTGTTTGTTTGTCTTGAATACTTACAAGGACCACAAATTTCTTAACTGAAATCTTTTTGACAAATACGACCTAAGGAAAACCAAAACTCTGTAAATGTCGCACTTGCACTGCTATCTAGTGACTCTTAGCATTTCTGCCAGATAGTATTTCTTCATGAATTATACCATGTCTACTTTGGGCTTTTTCATTGTTTCTTCAAACCCCTCAATTCCTCTTTTATTCAAAGTAAAGCTTGCCTATGCCTTGGGTTTCCTGCAGGATTTCATAATCTCTCTGCTTATGCATCTGGGATGACGGTTCCAGATGATTTGGGTATGTTAACATCTAACTGCCACACTGAGACTAAATATAAATAATTGATTACAATGAGTCAGCAACTCAGCTCTACTATCTATGCAGTCTAATGACTCCTGCTGCCATAGTACACGTACTACTCACAACCCTTTCTCCAACACAATAAGAACGTATATACGTTTCCTTCCAGTGGGTTATACAGTTAAAGATGGCCTCTGAACAATCTGCAGTGTTTCCATGTCTTCATCAAAGCTGCTAAATTTTCAACATAATTACTAACTAAACTAGCTCCAGTTAGTTTCATGCCAGTTAGTGCAAGAACTCACAAGCCTACAAAAGTTCCTACATTTATATAATAAAAAAGAACTTCCTCTGTTTTTTTTCTCAGATCTTTTCTCTGTTTTGTTTTGTTTGGGGTTATTTTTGGTGGTGTTTTTCATTTTTTTCCTGATCTCTCTCTCTATAGGCTTCGTACAGAATAACTGTGATTTTGTGTAAAACGAGTCAATATGGCCTCACAGTTTTAGCAAAATGTATTTACTGTATCACTTCAAGATATGAGAAATAATTATGCTAAGCAGAGGTTTCATTATAGTCATTTCTAAATGAGAATGAAAACCAGTATTTCTAAATAATCTAAGAAAGACTTGGATTCGGAGAACCTCTGCCAGAACTGTTCACAGACCACAGTTGCCAAACCACTACTTTTAAAGGCATGCACTTTGTAATGGGTAAATTTAGATATACATTTGCTTTAGAGTAGAGTTTCAGGAGTGGTACCGGATCCCTTCCTTCTGTACATTCAGACTGCCTACTTGAAGGAATTCTGCAATTGGAGATCTACCTTTAAAAAATGTACCTCCAAAAAATAAGGAATTATGTAAGTCTTATTATATGGCTGCTTATCGATTTCAGTTTTTAACCAAATAGGAGCATAGTCCTCATTTTTTTTCCCGTATGTCCACCTTTACCTTTTTCCCTATGAAGAGGTGGCTTGATGAGGAGAACGTCCTATTAAGCCTCTGTATTCAGTTTGGAAATGTTCAAGAAGAAAATACGGAAACAGGACTTGGGAGAGGAGGAAGGGGTATGTGTGTTGGAACTAGAACTACAGGTCCATTTCATAATCACTAGGCTGTGATCTGTTGTGCTCCTGACATACATTAAGAAGAACCCTTGGAGAATTCTGTCTCCATTCATTATACCCTGACAGAGTCTAGTTGCATTGACCTTGCTCTCGGTCCCACTGATTTAAGGAGTTTTATATAATGAGTAGTTGGAAAGGGGCGAAATTAGCCCAGAGAGCCATAATATATAAAATGTTCTTTGCTCAACACTAATTAGTTTATTTGATTTTCATCTGGTAGGTCTTGTCTCCAAGGTACAGAGAATGAATTTATTTTCACGTGCCATAACATCAGACACTTATGTTCTGTAGTTTCATATCCTGTTCTGGGGGTGGTAATTTTGTTTTTAAAAAAAAAAACCAACAACTTACTTGAGCAAATAAAAATTAATTTTTGTCAGACTTTGAAAAAATGCTTTTTTTATTGGGGACTTGGGGGAAACAGATTATGAATTAGACTTTTTGATAACTGAAGACTAATATTAAGCTGCTTCCAATCAAAAACTTCAGCACTTGAATACTGAATACTTGAATACGGAGGCTCATTGACGTAGCCTCCAAGACAATACTCCAAAATAGATACAGCTGCTAAAGTGGAAGTTGCTTTCAGCCAATGAATTTACTGCTTGTCAGATTTGTATGCATGTTTGAATGTGAGGGTAATGAAATAACATTATAGATTTCAGAAGCAGGGCAGCCTTTATTCAGATAAGGTTATAAGCGCATATGTTTTAGAATGAGTGTCTGCTGAAGTAATAGAATCTATTCCCCACTTCTTCTTGGGAGTTTAACTGTTTGCTGCAACACAGAAATGTAGTCTGGGATCATATACAAAGGGCTTTGCACCTTGTGCAAATGCACATCACTAAGATCACAGGAGCCATATTCAGATATTTAGCTTCAGTCTATGTAAACTTAACTCTCTACTCCCAGTGTTTCCTTTCAGCTATGTGTTTTCCACATCTTAAGGCTAGACAGTGGTTAACAAAATTAAGCAAAATTTAATTATCAATCACTGTGAGACCCAAAGCTTACATCTCAAGATAAATAGCACGCAGCAGAGGCCAGACTGTCAGGCAAATAAAAGCTGGTAGATGAACACTACATCTTCACAACTCAAACCAGAGTAATTCCAATGTAAAATAGGTACAATTTTCAAAATCACTTCACTGTGATGTAGATTTTAAATAATTAAAATTACATTAAATAGTACGTTAGAGTTTTGAAACATAATCAGTTGAAAAACCCTCCAGAGGGTTAATGTTACTCCCACTCTCTAATGCTAACACCCCTCATCTGGCAGAAATAGTCCCACAGGAGCATTTGTGGCATAATGCTTTTTGAAAACCCTTTAGCCACATCAGCGAAAAGTCTAGAAATACAGAAAGGGCAACACATTGCTCCCACACTTAACATCAACCTCTCTACAACCAGTATCACCATCCTGGTTAAATTAAACCACAACACAGATTTAATAAAAGCTGTAAGTGGAGGGAGGTGAACTGTTCCCGTGCACAGCAGGCACAAACTGAGCGAGGAGGACAGGGACTATGTGCCTGAAAGAAACGGGGCAGTATCTCGCATTGGATCTGATTAAAATTCTCCAATTGCAAATGTAAACTATAATGGGTTATTAAAATATTAAAGATAAAAGTGACCTTCGGTTATTTGGGTTTGTAAATTTGCTTTCTTCTATATCAGGAAGAAAGAATTTTGAGCAATTAAAAAGAAATGGGTTGGCAGTAGAGATTAAATTAAAATGAATAGCACGACCATGACAGAATTAAAAATATGTTCTATAGAGCTACTGAAGATATTTATTCCATTTCATTTTTCTAAGGAAGTCTTTTAGCTTACTCTCAAAGGGCTGAGCTTGTGACCAATATATTCAAGGCAAGGACCAGAACTGCCCTAAAGTGTATTTAAGTCATGGGATAATTTTTCTGAAGAACACAAGTAAATAGGCAAAGTGGAACAGACACATTCTGGGAATAATTATTGCCTCTAGTATATTAAGTTATTCAGCATTAGGCTATTCAGCAGTAATTATACTACCCCTGGGCAAGGATGATTTAGTACTGCATACTGGTGAAAGCTGCATAATTAAGAGAGAATGGGATCTGGCTACTATTTAACACACCTTTCCAAATGTTCATTTGATCCAGTTGGCAACAGCCACGGTGGGAAGGCATACGATGGGAAGGTTAGCGATGTGTCTTGTACTGCATTGTCTGGAGTCCTACAGCATTTAGCACTCCATAGTCAGAAGGTCAAGCTCTGTTCTCATTTAACTCTCTGTAAACCAACCAGCTTAAACAGAATTGCATGTGTCTAATTCAAAGCTGCATGTGATCTTTTGGGTTACTCTCTGATGTTAATGCTTAATGCGTTTTAGAACATTTTGTTTTGCTTATTTTTAAATCAGG